CAAGAACGGGTCTTATGCATGTAAAAAACACTTGAATTAAGGAGGATTCGCTTACTCCGCTTCGTTTAAGTACCCGGAGAAAGTAATGTCTCTTTGATGCCTTGGCCACGACATATTCAATATGTAAATTCCAATGAAGATCTGATGACAGATATACAATGATCTCCAATCCAGTGGCTGGAGATCCGGGGTCTCTTTAGCAAACGAGATTATCAACTCTTTACATTTGTTATGATTAAGTACCATGTCGTTCTCAATACACCATTTCTCTATATCATCAATGACCATTTGTAGATGGCTTTCTTTACCTTTCTTAATTGTTTCTGAAAGGCTGGTATCGTCGACATATTTCCATCGGTTTATAGAACTGATATTAACGCCGTTTTTAAGATATCGAAGGCTATTTGACAAGCATCGGTCCATTGAAGTTTACATTCTTATGGAGTAATTGCGTAAGTAGTTTAGCAATTTTCGAGAAATCTTTCACAAAACGTCGATAATAGTTAGCTAGGCCGAGAAAACTACGCACATCCTTAACCTTTTTTGGCACAGGAAAGTCTTTTACTGCACTAATCTTATCCGGATCTGGTTGAATTCCTTCTCGCGAAACTATGTGGCCCAAATATTTGACTTTAGGAAATGCAAAATGGCTTTTACTGGACTTAAGTTTAATATTTGCTTGTCTAAGGCGCAGAAATACCAAATTTGAATGTTGTATAGATGTTCCTGAAAGGAATGGGAGCATGAAATTATGTCGTCGATGTATATTAGACATATTTTCCAATTTAATCCGCGTAAGACATTTTCCATCAATCGCTGAAAGGTATATGGTGCGTTACATAGTCCGAAAGGGAGTACATTGAATTGGTATAGGCCGTCATAAGTGGTAAATGCTGTTAATTCTTTTGACGATTCGTCCATTTCTACCTGCCAATATCCAGAAAACAAATCTAAGGTTGTAAAGAATTGTGTTTGGCCTAATAAGTCCAAAGACTCTTGAATATGCGGTAAAGGGTAGGAATCCTTTTTTGTTACAGCATTCAGTTTCCTGTAATCAACACAAAAACGAGTTGAACCGTCTTTTTTCTTTACGAGCACTACTGGACTCGCCCATGGGCTAACTGAAGGTTCAATAATGTTGGCCTCAAGCATTGTCTGGATGTGTTCTGTTATCGTTTCACGTTGTGTTGGTGCAGTACGATATGGTCTCTGTCGTATAGGTGGAGAACCATCCGTAAAAATTTGGTGTTTAACGATGGATGTTCGACCTAAATCATGTGTACTTTGTGAAAAGATATCCGCATTATCCGATAAAAAACCATGTAGTTTATTCAGTTGATCAGTTGTTAAATCTGGTGAAATATCGAATTCAAATTGACCTGTTTGTTCCGTCGGAAGATTAGTATTCTGTTTAGTGGATAAAGGATTACATGTTTGTTCCGCTGATGAGGACATAATATTGTTAATCTCGCTTTGTTTGAAAAACGTTCCCAGTGTAGTATACCTATAAATTTTAACCGGTTTTTCAGTAGGGTTTACCAACCGAAAGGGGACCAGACCTGCTGGAGATACATACACAAGCGCTGCGGCGCCACAAATATTAAATCGCTGCGGTAAATTTGCATTGGCCTCTATCAAACCTATTGTTTCAGTAATATTATTGTCCTTAAATGTCGCTGGAATAATACATTCGGAATTTGGAGGAATAACGTGAGTGTCAGCCGCATAAATGGTATATTCTGAGTTATCACGAATTTCAGGTTCTGTATCTGCAAACGGTAATGGATCTTCTGCTATTTCTTCAGTTTCGATTGTAGGCTCATGGTCGCTAGTCTCAGTTTGACGCGTACTAGGTGTATTAAGCATAACCAGATTATCACGATCAATTTTGAGATAACCAGATTTAAAATCTATGATACAATCAAAACGTTCAAGAAAATCTTTTCCTAAAATGGCCATATAATGAAGCTTTGGTAAAACACATGTTTTTACCATATAACTAGCGTTGCCCAAATGGAATTCCAAATTGACATCTCCTAAAACTTGAACTATTTCGCCACTTGCGGTTTGCGCTGTTTTACATTGTCCTGATGTTCCTAAAGCCAATTTCGAATTTTGTCGAATTTTCTCCCAGAAAGCTTGGTTAATTACAGTAATAGCGGAACCCGTATCAATGAGAATATTTGCATCAATGCCTTCGATTTTCCCAGTTACAGTGAGGTAATGCGTTTTTCGAAGATCTGGGTGAGCAAATGTATTGTTTGGAACAGAACGTTTTCGTGCAAAGAGAAAACAAGGTTTATCGTGATATTGACTAGATGTACGTGCGCTTCCTTGCTGTATAGCGTTCAAAGGTGGTGGTGGGGGAGGAGGCGGTGGCAATGCTGGAAAACGTGTAGACCTTCCTGAATAAAGGGTTGATCTAGGGTTATTTTGATTAAAATTATTTCTTGTAGTTTGCCCTGGTGTGTAGTGTTGCAGCTGAGGTAATGAGCTTCTAGGCATATTAAAATTTGTTCGGCTTTGTGAGAAATTTGAACGACCCAGGTTTACAAAACAACGATTTGCAATGTGCCCAACTCTATTACAACGATTACAAATTGGTCGACCATCAGTGGTGCGCCGATTACGGAGCATTGTAAGCATTTGGAACCATTTGTGTCGGTCCTACTCTCGGTCTAATGTTGGCTGGCGTTGACTGAACTTGATTTTGCAACCTGATAAACTCTTCACGAGTGACGTAATTCGGAAACTGGTCAGAATTGCTATGAGTATTACGTGCTGCTTGGACGTGTGCTGTCGAGTGCGACGAAACAAAATCTATAGGTGTTAAGGCGCGCGAATTTGGACTTGTTAGAGCTGAGGTTACTGGGCGCGAAAGCGAATTTTTCAAACGCGCGGCATCAACAGCGGCGGCATATGTATCTGGTAACTGCAAAATGACATGCTCTTTTAGATCTTGACGTAGTCCTTGAACAAAGCATTGCATAGTTTCTGCATCTGTGAGCTGTAAGCGCGCTGCTCTAGCGTCAATATCGTCAAGATAGCTTTCGAGCGGCTCTACTGGTCCTTGCGTGCGGTTATTCAATTCTTGGCGCCGGAGGAACTGTTGATGTGGTGATACAAATACTTGTCTTAAAGCATCTTGTAACGCTTGTAAATCCGCGAACTTCATCAGTTTGGCGCTGACAAACGCGTAGAGCGCTACCACCAAGAAACATCATAAACCCATTTAACTGTTGTTCAGGGGTCCATGCATTAAACGTGGCATATCGCTGAAATTTGTGTAGCCACTCATCGTAATCCTCAGTTGGGGAGCCGCGAAAAACTGGGGGTGGAAGGCCACTAGCTCTGGGAGGCGCCCCTACAATTTGATTTTGTTGTTCATGTAGTCTGTCGGTTATTTGTTGTAGTAAGTCAAGAAGACCCTGTGGTAGGGCTTGGGCTTCCTCTTCCATTATTGGGTCCCTGGGGAAAGCAGGAAATTCTGTTTCTGTGTAGGCCAATGAAGAAAGAGAAGTATTTGAATCAGAAGAGTTTGAAATTTCAGAAGGCTCGTTACCTCCCCGATGTGTACAATTTCGTGTACACCAACGCGCAGGGGCCAACCCTAAAGAACCTGTGTTATGAGAGCGCGTTCGCCTAGCGATTGGTTCGTTGTTTTCAGAACTAGACTCTGCTACGCTCATTAAACTATGCAACTCTCTATTAAGCTAAAAACATATTAATATATAAACGTTCTTAAAGATAGATAACTAGATATATAGATATAGAATAATGTTAATATGTAAGGAATAATATAAAGTATGTAAATTGATCGATTAAAGTTTATATGCCAACTTACGACCAGTTTAGCACAGGTAACAACTCATCATTGGATTCTTCTTCGTAGCCCGCTGGAACACAGCGGTATTTTGGCTCACAATAGCGGATTTGGGGGCTTCGAGTCGCAATTTCTGCATAAACTCGTCAAATTCTACTGCTATCTGGCTCTCCGTTTGGGTTGCCGCGTCCTTGGTTGTTGTTACTGGCGTTTGGGTGGCTGTGGTTGTTACTGGCGGCGTTTCAGCAGGCGTTGGTACGAACACTACAGGAATATATCGAACGTACGGTTCCTCCGGGGTGTTCATAAGGCCGTTCCTCCACCAAGTGTTAAGTAGCTTTTATTTTCTATTTACGCGAGGTAGGAAATCTTTACAATGGTTTTACTGAAGTTCAATAATGTTCAGTTTCTTTACTGGATTCTCTACTCTTCACTTGATCTTCTGATCTTCGTCGTTTTTGAGTTCTTGTCTGGGTTGTCTGTCCTGTAAGGTTGAGCTTCCTAACGTTTCACATGCTTTTTACTCCGCTAGTCCACTGAAGGTTGGGGTGTTGTGCACGCCCTTTTATAGTAACGGTTGAGGGAAACTTGCAGACGTCATCAACCAGAGTGGGCTGATCCTTATCCAACCAATCAGCGTTGTAAGTTAGAAATGTGGGTTGGTCTTAGAAGCTCGTTCCAGTTCTCATATCTTGTTTGTTTAAGGCGTTGTCGCACTAGTCGAGTTGGTCTTCTGCTCAATCGATCAATACTTAAAAATGTTCACAACTTAAAATGTTTATCATCAACAACTAGTAAAATTTACAAACAATATATCTGTGAACAATATCTTTCAACTTAAACTATTTTCACTCTTATTTTATCGAATTGAACTTTTGATGACGTAATCTATTACATGCTTGACCGAGCAACATTTTTAACACAATTGATTGACATAAGAACTTGAATGGCCTACAGCACGCACACTTTTTTTAAAGAATGCGACCATTAAGATAAGTGAAGACTTAAGACTGCATGTTTATCCAAGTATTAGTTCTGAGAGGATTATAAATATTTTCACCTTATTACTTATTTAATCCCACGATATGTCATACATGAAAGGGAAAGGCGATTAATGTTTGCTAATGGCCGAAAAATATACTTACTCAGGCGTCTTGTGGCAAAAATCATTCACTAATCCCTGTCATGCTCTTGATATTCCTATTTTTGCTGCTATTTTTATATGCATATCTCTAAACACAATAAAGCTTTGCGTAACAGAATAATACATTCGGAATTTGGAGGTATGACGTCAGTGTCAGCTGCATAAATGGTATATTCTGAGTTATCACGAATTTCAGGTTCTATATCTGCAAACGGTAATGGATCTTCTGCTATTTCTTCAGTTTCGATTGTAGGCTCATGGTCGCTAGTCTCAGTTTGACGCGTACTAGGTGTATTAAGCATAACCAGATTATCACGATCAATTTTGAGATAACCAGATTTAAAATCTATGATACAATCAAAACGCTCAAGAAAATCCTTTCCTAAAATAGCCATATAATGAAGCTTTGGTAAAACACAGTTTTTACCATATAACTAGCGTTGCCTAAATAGAATTCCAAATTGACATCTCCTAAAAAACCTAACTATTTCGCCACTTGCGGTTTGCGCTGTTTTTCATTGACTGGATGTTCCTGATATCAATTTCAAATGTCGTCGAATTTTAGCCCAAAAAGCTTGATTAATTACTGTAATAGCAGAACCCGTATCAATAAGAATATTAGCATCAAAGCTTTCGATTTTCCCAGTTACAGTTAGTTTTCCGAAGTTCTGGGTAGGCACATATATTGTTTTGAGCAGGGCGTTTTCGTGCGAAGAGAAAACAAGGTTTATTATGATATGGACTAGATGTATGTGCGCTTTCTTGCTGTATAGCGTTCAAAGGTGGTGGTGGGAGAGGAGGTGGTGGCAATGCTGGAAAACGTGTATACCTCCCTACATTGGTATTTGATCTCGGGTTAGTTTCAGGATTAAAATTATTTCTTACGGTTTGCCCCGTTGTATAGTAGTGACTACGCTGTGGTTGAAACAATGAACTCCTAGGTGGATTAAAATTTGTACGGCCTTGTGAGTGACTTGAACGGTTTAAATTTACAAAACAAGGATTTGCAATATGCCCTACTCTATTGCAACGATTACAAATTGGTCGACCATTGCTGTTCCGTCGATTTCTTGCATATAATAAGAGTTTGCAACTGGTTTTAACGGTCCAACTCTCAGTCTTACAATCGGCTGTGTGGTCTGAATTTGATTTTGTAACCTCGCAAATTCTTTGCAAGTAACGTAATTCGGCGACTGATCAGCATGGCGCCGGAGGAACTGTTGGTGTGGTGTTACAAATACTTGCCTTAAAGCCTCTTGTATCGCTTCGAAATCTGCGCGAACTTCATCAGTTTGCCGCTGACAAACGCGTTGGGCGCTACCACCAAGAAACAATACAAACCCATTTAACTGTTGCTCAGGGGTCCACCCATTAAACGTAGCATATCTGTTAAATTTTTGTAACCACTCATCGTAATCCTCAGTTGGGGAACCACGAAAAACTGAGGGTGGAAGGCCACTAGCCCTAGGAGGCGCCCCTGCAATTTGATTTTGTTGTTCATGTAGTCTGTCAGTCATTTCTTGTAGTAATTCAAAAATACCCTGTGGTAGGGCTTGGGCTTCCTCTTCCAGTATAGGGTCTCTGAGTAAGCCAATGAAGAGAGAGATGTATCGGAGTCTGAAAGATCAGAAGGCTCGTTCCCACACCGAGATGTAGCTACAATTTCGTGTACACCAACGCGAAGGGTCCCACCCTAGAGAACCTATATTATGAGAACGCGTTCGCCTAGCGATTGGTTCGTTGTTTTCAGAACTAGACTCTGCTACGCTCATTAACCTACTCAACTCTCTATTAAGCGCAAAACATATAATTATATCTAAACATTCTTAATGATAAGTAACTAGATATAGAATAACGTTAATATGTAAGAAATGATATAAAGTATGTAAATTGATCGATTTAGTCAACATGTCAACTTACGACCAGTTTAGCACGGTCAACAATTCATCGTCAGATTCTGTTTCGTAGCCAGCTGGAATACAACGGTATTTTGGCTCACAGTAGCGGGTCTTGGCGGCTGCGAGTCGCAATTTTTGCACGTATTGGTCGAATTCCAAAGCTATCGAGCTCTCGGTTTGGGTCGCCGCGTCTTTCGTTGTCGTTGCTGGCGTTTGAGTCGTTGTTACTGGCGTCGTTTCAGTAGACGTTGGTACGAACACTACAGGAATATACTGGACGTGTACGGTTCCTGCGGGTTGTTCATAAGGCCGTTCCTCCACCAAATTTTTAAATGACTTTTTTTTTCTATGTACGCGAGGTAGGAGATCTTTACAATGTTTGACTAATGTTTTTAATGTTCTCTTCTTTCTTTTTGATCTTCGTCGTTTTGTGTTCTTGTCTTTATCGTTGGTTGTGTATGTTGAGCTTCTCTAACGTTTCACATGATTTTTATTCCGCTAGTCCACTGAAGGTTTGGGTGTTGTGCACGCCCTTTTATAGTAAAGGTTGAGGGAAACTTGCACACATCGATTTAGTCAATATGCCAACTTACGACCAGTTTAGCACGGCCAACAATTCATCGTCAGATTTTTCTTCGTAGCCAGCTGGAATACAACGGTATTTTGGCTCACAGTAGCGGGTCTTGGCGGCTGCGAGTCGCAATTTTTGCACGTATTGGTCGAATTCCAAAGCTATCGAGCTCTCGGTTTGGGTTGCCGCGTCCTTCGTTGTCGTTGTAGGCGTTTGGGTCGTTGTTACTGGCGTCGTTTCAGTAGACGTTGGTACGAACACTACAGGAATATACTGGACGTACCGTTCCTTCGGGTTGTTCATAAGGCCGTTCCTCCACCAAATTTTTAAATGACTTTTATTTTCTATGTACGCGAGGTAGGAGATCTTTACAATGTTTGCCTTTTTTTTTAATGTTCCCTTCTTTCTTTTTGATCTTCGTCGTTTTGTGTTCTTGTCTTTATCGTTAGTTGTGTATGTTGAGCTTCTCTAACGTTTCACATGATTTTTACTCCGCTAGTCTACTGAAGGTTCGGGTGTTGTGCACGCCCTTTTATAGTAAAGGTTGAGGGACACTCGCACACGTCATCAACCAGAGTGGGCTGATCCTCATCCAACCAATCAGCGTTGTAAGTTAGAAATTTGGGTTGGCGTTAGAATTTCGTTTCAGCTCTCATAACTTGTTTGTGTAAGGCGCTGACGCACTAGTCGAGTTGGTCATCATCTCAAAAATGTGATATTAGAATATATCTCATGCAGCGTGTCTCACTGAGACGTACTGATAGAAAACGCGGAGCTTCCCAATATGCACTCGTCGCCTGCCTCGTCTTGTACTATGCATAAGTTGGGTTCGTTATTTCCGTTTTCTTGGTGACACTCAAAGTTAAAGAATAAGAGTTGATTGTACCCGCTTTGAGTCGAGTTTTCTTCATCGTTCGTCTCTGTATTCGGAGGAGGTTCGCTTCTTCGTTAATGTCGCTGCTGTTTTTGTCTCTTACGGGTTGCATATAACATTGATGATTCTCAGTTTGCACATAGACATCGCATGTAGGGCAACGTGGGGGTTTTGAGGGTGGTTGAGACTAAGGTTCGGAAAGGGCTTGGAATTGGTGCTGGAAAAGTGGTTGGAGTTCTTAGGGTTTTGAGGCTGGTTGGACTAAGAGGTTTGGAAAGGGGTTGGAATCGGTGGGGGTTTGAGGGTGGTTAAGACTAAGGTTCGGAAGGGGGCCGGAGTTGGTGCTGGAAAAGTGGTTGGGAAAGTTCTTGGGGTTTTGAGGGTGGTTGGAACTAAGGTTTGGAAAGGGGTTGGAATTGGTGGGGGTTTGAGGGTGGTTGAGACTAAGGTTCGGAAAGTGGTTGGAATTGGTGTTCGAAAAGTGGTTGGAGTTCTTGGGGTTTTAAGGATGGTTGAGACTAAGGTTTGGAAAGGGGTTGGAATTGGTGCTCGATTTTACGTAAAACATATTAATAAACGTTCTTAAACATACATAAACTAGGTATAGGATAATGTTATATAGAACATATAAATTGATCGATAAATAATCAATATGCCAACCTACGACCAGTTTAACACTGGTAGCCGTTCGTCTTCTGAATCTGTTCGTACCCAGCCAGCGGTATTCTGATTCACAATAGCGGGGCTGTTTTGAACTGCATCCAAAACGTCAATCTCATTTCATGATCTTTTTTAATGACTCGTAATGTTCCATCACTTGCTCGTAGTAAGTTAACTTAACACAGCTTACAATATTTATCGTCAACAACTAGTAAAATTTACAAACAATCACCTCTGTGAACAATATCTTTCAACTTAAACTATTTTTCACTCTTATTTTACCGAATTGATCTTTTGTTCACGTAATCTATTACATGCTTGACCGCGCAACATTTTTAACACAATTGATTGACATAAGAGCTTGCGTTGCCTACAAGCACGCACATTTTTAAAAAATGCGACTATTAAGATGAGTGACGACTTACAAGTGTTTATCCAGATATTAGTTCTGAGAGGTTGATAAATATTTTCACCTTGATCATGATAAGAGATGTGTACTTCGAATTGACTTAAGCTTCGCAATAAAGGACTGACAGAGATTGGTTTTTCGACGTACAACAGACTCCCAAGTTCGAATGTTATAATGCATGATCGTAAGACATCCTTAGTGCACGTTTCTGGGTGTTTTCAATGAGATCGGACAAGTTAACCGGCAGATTCGACCAAGCGGGTGCGGCGTATTCAACAGATGATCTCATAAACGAACAATACACTACCACCAAGCATTTCGACAATTCGTGGACAATGCACGCACTACTATTCTACACAAATTATTGAAGGATAAGTTTCGTAAAATAAGTGAATATGCAATTTCTTCCGGATACCGTGTGAATGAAATTCGTAAAACTTGTATGCACCTTCCTGCAACTCATTACGATGAGCTCTCAAATAATCGTCACTTAATCATGGGAGTAAAATTTTAGTACGAGAAAAGATGTTCGGTGTAACACTTCACCACCTTAAATTTGAAAACTGTTTTCTCAACCTTACGTTTCGTGAAAGATTTCACTATGCATGTGCTCACAGTGTCAATGTTCGAAATTACGATTTTGCCACTGAGGAGTGAAGTCCGCTATAAACTGCTACGGTAAACCCGTGTGTATTTTTGATGTAAGAATATGCTTTTTTTTCGTGTAATGAGGTAGACGAAACTCCAATTCGCTTACAGACCCGTCTGGTCAAGGATACAAAGAAGTTGATTTTCTCTTCACCTGAAGGAAATTGAATGTAAAAGTTGCCAAAATAATGTTTAACATGTGCATTTTACGAAACCACTATAGGCATATCACACCTGGGACTGGGAATGTATATTCGTATTGGTAGGCGTGAAAAGTTCTGCTAGTGAAAATACCCTCTCGGACATCTATTGTTCCAGAATCCCATAAGGCTTGGTTCTCTAATATGGCTATTCATCGGCGACGTACTTTGTCGAGGTTATTAAATGCTTTTATAAAATGATTTGTCTATCGTAAAAATTATTCACTTCATTGGTCAGTGACAATGGCTCCTAGAACATCGTCGATGAATTACGACATATGAAAACCAAACTTACATAAAGTTAGGAACTTTTCGTCTCTAAACGGAACTTTTTGTCGAAAAAAAATTTACTCTTCTTAGTTTGTAATAATGAATAATACCTTAAAAAGTATTTGAATTGCCGCGCAATGTCCTTGAAGCCCAATAGTGCTCAAAATATTTATTTTAGAAAATTGAAATATATATGATATTTATATATAATATATTTTCATGTAAGTCATTATTCAGCTCTTGCCTGTGATGTCATTGTATTCGTATTTTTCTTTCCATTTTATAGCTGGCAATTTAAAATATAGCCATTATATAGGTGCACTAATGCGGCCATACAGTTCAACGAAAGCTTGATAGCATGCACTATCCGTATAACAGTGTTTTTTCAGTCGCTTCAAAATTACCCGTTGTTCAGTATAACTTTCATTAAACTTTAATGCTCATGTATCTATAATCCTTGTTGCCTCAAAAGTTGTAATTTTACTGCTTTTCCAGCGTTTACAACGGTTAAAAGTCTCGTTTACACTACATTCAATTTATTAGCACGGCAAGGCTAAACTTTCCTGGTACCCGTGCCCCAAATTAATAGTGTTCAGGCTACTAATACAAAGGCCGGGCACGGATGAAATGGAGGACGAGTGCCTATTTTAGTTGTGCCGATGAATCGAATGTATACAGCAAAAAAAATACAAAACGCAGGATAGGCGCTATCCAGCCTTCGACACAACTGCATGGCCAGCGTATCTCGATTGTGACACTCCCATATTGCAAGGTTTCGATAGATAAGTGATAGATAATAAGAGATGAAAATGTTAAGTAGATTAATGTCAGGTACCTTATTTTTTTGAGAGGTATGTGCATAATATTCCGTGGTGTCTCTGGCCTATAGCTACAGCGATGCATCAAAGATGTTACATATTTATACAATTTCTGTCCGAATGATTTTTGTGCCGAGGCCGAATAACATCGAATTATGTCCAATTTAACCTCAAGTATATGGTTATCGATTTATTTTGTTACTGACATTTGTAAGTAAAACGAAATGCATGTAAAACGATGATTAAAAATATTCTTAGTGGTCGAAGCCCGTGTTTGGATCAAGCCATCCAAACACGGAAATTTAAAGTTTTAAAGAATTTATATTTAAATTCAGGCCTTGTCGTTGTTATTTCATAAAACAATTGCGGGTTAAGTTAAGTCATGATGAAGAAGTGGGGGAGCGAACAATCTCGAGTTAAGAAAAAACATTAAGTAATTGTATCGACCTTAGTAATAAAAAAGGGAAGGTCGAACATACGGGAATATGGTATACCCGACCTTGGTGATAAAAAGAATGAATAGTAAAGGTCGAATATGCCGAAATATAGTCACGTCCATGGTAATTAGCAACTTCCAGACTTGCCAAAACAAATGCTTGAGAACGTCAGCAACGAACGTCAGTGACATTTCGCAAACTTTTTTATTTTTGCAAATAATTATTCATACCGCATGATAACGAGGCAACCGTGAGACTTTAAATGAAATAAAAGTCGCTATTCATCAGCGATGTATTTTGTTCGATATAGGTTATTAAAGCATAAAATGCTTTGTCTATCGTAAAAATTATTCACTCCATTGGTCAGTGACAATGGCTCCTAGAACATCGTCGATGAATGGATGACTTGCGCTTTAGACTAATTTTTGATCGAAGTAACTAGAAGAAAATAAATCATGACAGCTAGAAAGATCTTACTTAAATTAGTGCAAATGCAAAGTTTGGCTGCAAAATGTTGTAAAATACGGAAAATATAGCCACGCGAAGTTGGCAAATTTTGTATACTTTTGTATTACGACCGGAAGCGTGTAACTAATTTAGTTACACATTTCCGCACGTAATACAAAAGTATACAAAAATCGACAACTTCGCGTGGCTATATTTTCCGTATTTTACAAAATTTCGCAGATAAACTTTGCATTTGCACTAATTTAAGTAAGATCTTTCAGAAAATGTCCTTTTTATTGCCGAGGTAAGAAATTAGTCTAAAGCGCAAGTCGTCCATTACGACATATGAAAACCAAACTTATATAAAGTTAGGAACTTTTAGTCACTAAACGGAACTTTTTGTCGAAAAAATACTCTTCTTAGGAGTTTGAGAACGTCAGCAACGAACGTCAATGACATTTCGCAAACTTTTTGTATATTGCAAATAATTTTTGGTATACTGATAACGAGGCAACTGCGAGACTTTAAAATGGAAGTCAAGTCAAGTCCCCGTATGCAAACAAACGGTTTATTTACATTTTGAACCTCTGTTATAGTTCCATAGTTTTCGAAATACGTTGTGCTCTCTGAATATCTAAAAATATTTAGGTTTGCTATGCTTGTGATGAATATGAACTTGTAGCGTTTTTGATGAGAAAAATTCGAAAACATTCAAAATTAATTTGGAGAACCTCGCATTGTTATGAGCAAAACCGATGTGCAGAACTGGTTTGTCCACTTTAACTAAAAAGAAAACGGGCACAGCTCAAGAAAAAAGGCGGAGAAAATATTTAAAAAATAAGCTTTAAAGTATTTTGCACGCGTGGGGTTACAGACATGCGAAACTTGTTAATATTTAAAAGCGACGCCTTAAAACAGGTGCATTCTTAGTTCACTTGCTTGGCTGAATAATTACTTAAATAAACAATATTGCCTAATCATATACTAATTGAACACAAATTTCCATTTCATCCATTAATGACTTTGTCCCCGTGGATACAGCGCACTGCCCACGCGAAACGTTTCCGGCTGCTTCTTCTACAAGTTTGACCGAACTAAAATATATAATCTATACTGCATGTCGAATAATTCTCACAATCCAAAAAAGATTAATAGAAAAATTTGTTTGATCGAAATAACCCAATCGTAAATATCCTGAAATAATCCCTAACATCGTTGAATTTGCGATAACAAATTATAGTTGTTTAAAAGCGACGAAGCTGCATTTCGTTTTCATATTACGAGTAAAAAGTATCATATACATCCTGACAACTGAATCATTAAAAGCCAGAGAGAGAATTTCTTTGTAACATAAGGGTTGGGAGAGAATATAATTATTCATCATAACAGTTAGAAACATCTCATACTTATTAATAAAAATAAAATGTTTCGCATCGAAACGTTGTTGTCTTGGAAAATATATTTATGCAAAGTTAACACACTATATTTATTTTTGTAATTTGTGCGGGAAAGAAACTTTTGGCCTTAAAATATGCTATCAGTAACCGTGATTATAAATACGTTTCCATGCAGCTGCTCTACTTTGCTGAAAGGGATAGTGCGAGGAAAGCAACTCTGTGTACAATAGACTATAAACCATTCTGTGGAAAAAGAAAAAGTTAGAATGCTAAGCATCAAAAGGTAAATTAGCTTGTAGGTATACACTATACACCACGTGAGTATTTAATACTGCAAAGCTTTCGGTCCGTTAACCTGGGCCTTCATCAGTGCAATAAAGGATCAGTGAATAACGGATAAGTAAATAAAGGATCATTGAAGGCCAGGATTAACGGACCGAAAGCTTTGCAGTATTAAATACTTACGTGGTGTACCTACAAACTAATTTACTTATTGATGTCACCATGCAAACTTACATGCAAGAATATTACAAAGCATCAAGTTCAGACGTTATTAGGAAATAATTATTGAGGTTCCGACATATGGCTAATTCTTAATCTTAGATCAGCTGGATAGCTTTAATATTTTCTTTTAAAGGTTGTTTATTAATTGTCTGAGGACGTTGTATCAAGCCTGTTTAGCTTAAACGGTGGATAAGCTCAAAATAGAAAGCAAATCTATGATATCGTTTTATTCAACAAGCAAACTAAATGGTTTTAACCATAATACAAAGATACTGTTTACAACTATATATTCAGTGCACAATATTCAAGTTGACTTATTCAAGAGAGATATAAGAGTTAGAGTGTTATGTAATTTTGACTTATCCACCGTTTAAGCTAAACGGGCTTGATACAACCGGCCCCAGATCGGAATATTCAACATGGTACTATGAAGAAAAAGACTTTCTTCTTGCGATTAAAGTAACGCTGATATTTCAAGACACTGCATGTATGAGCAAAAAAAAAAATGATCCGCGGTGTAAGTAGTGTAGCCAGCCTAACGATTTGTCCCGCTATGCTATGATATTTTGGTGTTCATTGACTGTGATCATGAAAGCAATAAATTTCTAAAAACATGAATAATTATAATAACTCGAAATTTACATAGTGGGACAAAATCGTCAGGCTGGCTACGTCACCTGCGGCGTGTGTCTTAATATAAACCCTCCCATTCAGTCACATTTCCCCACATGCAGCAGCTGCTCTTCGCTTTTCTTTCATGCCCTAGCTCGTACTAAATTTCGATGGGAATTTTTCCTCATCCTTAACAATATTCTACGTGCATGCACTTTCCTTTACACTGGGGTATATCCATCTCAAAGCCGACAGATAAAAGATAACTACTGCAACCTGTTTAAACCTACGCAATTAAACGTTTCACGTTATACAAAAGTTGCACATGCATAATATATACTAGATTCGATCAGTTATAAACTCAATATATATATTTAAGAGTATCGGGAAAAGGCACAAAAAGCAATTAAAACTGTCGGATATATTGTGTGTTTTTACAAAATCCAATTTGTTTTCCCACTATCCGAATACACATATCTTAATTGATAATAATGTAATTTTGTAAATTGAATAACGAGCGCCACTTTCTCCTAGCAACCGGAAAGAACGTTAATAATAATAAAACGTTCTGCTAATCTTTCCTCATTGTCGTGATGACCGTGCTTGTCGCAAGGTTCCTTGGTAAGACGAAGCTTGACAGGTGAAACTAAAAGAACTCCGTCTATATTCGACTACTTTACTTCTGAATTAAAAGTTGTTACTTGGAAATTTCGGCTTTTCTTAACTCAATATTCAACATTCGTCTGTGATCGTCAGGTATTGAAATAAGTTCACTTTATACTTCCTTGGATTAAAGGTATCGTTTCTCATAAACGCTTTTAATTACTATAGTTTCGTTCAAGTTGCTAATGTACGTTTTAGTCCAACAGTAATGATCACTTTGAAAGTATAATCAATGAAAGTAGGAGCTTTAATCCCGCCGTACACGAGAGCTATATTAGCTGAGTTAAAGACCTCGCGAGCCTGTTAGCTCAGCAAGTTACTCTCGTGTGCGGGATATTTTTCGTGAGTAATTCG